AAATCAGTGCATGCCTTTGTATCCTCCCTGTCCACAGCCTTCCAGATCCCCAGGTTAGAACCTCCTTATTTCAAGTGTTAGCACTTGAGGTGATGGAGTCTTACGTTGTAAGGTCTGCTTTTAAGGTACACTTGATTAGGTCACACATCATTATTTAAACAAATAACAAATATTTCTGCAGAAAATTTGTGCTCCTTTACTTTAAAAGACACTTGCATTTTTCTTTAATTGGTATACTTTGAGCAAATTATCATCTGATCAAATCCGTAGATTTATATGAATAAATACTTTTTTTTTTTGTATTTTAGGGAAGGGTCTACAGGGTGTTCAGGGTCTCACTAGTAGATCAGACTTGTAGTGATCTGCCTGTTTACAGCCTCCCAAGAGTTCAGATTACAGGCACATGCCACCATGCCCAGTCTCAGTTGCTGGCTCAGTGTACCCGGGGGGCAGGGCTGGCACAGCAAGCCCGGGGATTGAACCCCTGGCCCTTGCACCTACTTGCAGGAGCTTTAATCCGCTGAGCTATTTGGCCAGCCCAGTGCTGACTTGTTGCACCTAAGGAGGTGGCAGACCGCGTAGAGCATTCACCTAAGGACAGCACAGTTGGTGGGGAGAGATATAAGGGGCAGCAGTTGTTTCATTAAAGGTTCATTTCTGACCGTACTTCCATCATTCCAGGTCTTTTGTCATTGAATTTTTAATTGATACAAAATTCACAGAACATAAAATGAACCATTTTAAAGCGTTCATTAAATTCAGTACAGTCAACACACTGTGCTGTACAGCAGCCACTGCTGGCGGTTTGCTCTCAGCCCCTGCCAACCACTAATCCACCACCTCAGAATACTTTCCTGCCCAGGGCATTTCCCATAAATGAAGGCCTAGAATGTGGAGCCTTCGTGTCCAGCTTCTTGGACTTAGTGCACTTCAGAGGTTCATCCGTGTTGTGGCCTCTATCACTGACCCTCCTGGCCTGATACACGTTTAGCTACTGGTAGGACTGCTAACTACTGCTTTCAGTGCTCATTTGTAAGGTCCTGTTTGGACATCTGTTTTTGCTGAGTCATGCTTGTGATAAGTCTAGCATTCTCTATAGAAGGAGCCAACAAGTTCTCTTCTGTTGAATTTACAGTCCTACCCACGATGCGGCAGGTTGCAGTTTCTCCATATGCTGGGGTTTTGGTTGGTAATAATGATCATTTTACACTCACTAGACTGACCATTTGTAGTAATGGTCATTCTAGTGAGTGTAAAATTATTTTGTAATTAACTTTTAACTCAAGTTTATATGTTATATTTCACCTAGAACCAATGTGGGTGCTTTAACTAGAAAAGTAGTCAATGTATTTTTTTTTTCAAGCTGTAGCTACAAGTGTGATGCTGTCCCCAGTGTGCTGAAGTACAGGTGATGTATGATAAGCTGCACACATTGAAGTGTGCAAACACGTGACCTGACATCAGGACGCCTGTCACCAGACGCAGTCACTCCCTGCCTCTGGGCGCGACCGTGTCCAGGACCCACCTCACTGAGTGTGGCAAAGACTCCCTTCCTTTCTTCTTTTGCTCTTTTTATTCTTCCTCTCACACCTTGTGTTGCCCTGTGGGTGAGTCGCTGTGACCTTGTCCGGACTACCTGTAGCCTAGAGGTGTAATGGCTTTCTGATTTCTTGGGTCCTCGCGTCCTTTGATCTGTTCACTTCTGCCAGGGACCCCCCTGACTCTACTGCCAGGAGCTGAGAGTGGGGTTTGTGGTACCACAGTGCTGATCATGCCACTAAACTCTGTAAGTGCTGTGTCTTCCAGTGTGTGAGCCTGGTCTCCAGTGTATTAGTCTCCCAAACTCGGCTGTAGACCTTGAGAGCAAATTTGTGTTTTTTGGCCTACAAAGTGCTTACAACACAGTACTCAGTGCTTACTAGAGGCTAAACTTTTGAGGCTCTGGTTAGTATAACTGTGTTCCCCATGAGTGCAACTTCAGTTTAGTTTGTAGAATCACATTGATCTGCCATGTACACTAAGTGTAGCTTCCACAGATTTATTTTAAGGTCTTAAGGTCGCTTTGCAAATGTTGTGAAAGAATTTATTCTAGGCCTAATAGATACCTTAGATATATCTTTTGTTTTTATAGTTGAATGTGAAAATACAAGTTTAAACTACTTTCATGGTGCCATATTTTAAAAATATATAGATTATGTTTTTACTTAGAGAAAATGACTTTTATTTGGATTATTTATTTATTTATTTTTAAAATGCATTAGGTTCAGGGATTACAGGTGCGTGCCATCACGCCCAACATAACATGTGGTGCCAGGGATCAAACTTCATCCCTGTGCTTTCCGAAGCACATGCTTAGTCTGCTGAGGTATCTCACCAGCCCTTTAGCTTTATTCCAAAAAAAGTTATTTTGTTTTTGAGACAGCATCTCATTGTGCTCTCCAGGGTAGTCTCAACCTACTAGGGTTAAATAATCTTCCCACTTCAGCCTCTATTAAAAATGTATAACTAGTAAATAACTTTTTTAAACTTTCAATTTCAAAATGCATTATGATGTGAAAGATTGTAGATCTGCAGTAAGGAATAAGTTATTCTTGGGAAGACTTCTGGCTCCTCCAAGGTAGCTGGGAGTGACAAGGAGCTCTGCTATGCGGGTTCAGAAGAGCTTCGGGCCTCCTGCCCTCAGTTCTCTTACGCAGCGCTTTGTTCCCCTTTGGTTCTCACTCAGCTGCAAATAAAAGCCTCACTTGAGTGTGCTACACAGTGTCTGTGATGCCCGAGCTATTTTGGTCAGGAGAATGAAAGCAAAGATGTTAGTTCAGTTTCTCGTTCCCCTGAACAGACCAGGAAAAGGAGTCCCCACATAGATGGGGAGCTGACTGCCAGTGAGATTCCCTGTCAAGAGAAAGCGGGCTCCATAGAAGGCCGGGTTGGGTGCTGCTCGTGTGTGTTCATTTGGACCTCCAGGGTCCCACTGCGTATGGGCCTAGGCCGCTGCTTATACCATTAGTGGCCATTTGGGCTTTTTCTTCATTGACTTGTCTGTCACAATTTGTTCCTATTTTCAACTGTGTATTTCATGATTTTGTTTATTTCTAGAAGCTCTTTATGCAAAAGAAATCTTAGCCCTTTGGTTATGATACAGCTGCTTCCATTATCCACTTCTTTAACATTGAATAAAATGTGCTTATAGTCAGTGACTTTGGACAAGTGTCAGACCCACGTCACTTCCTTGCCTTCTAGTCACTGGAGGGTGGAGGGTGTCTCTTGCCTGCTTTGAAGTCTCTCTGACCAAAAGCCTCTCAGTTGGTGATCTTTTTCTTTAAGAGTTTTCAAGACTTCATTTTTTGTCTTACATTTCTTCTAAAGGAGAAATCAACTATCATTCTTATTTTTGTACCTATATTTGTAACCTTTAGCTCCCCATCTACCTTTAGTTATTTTATGTAATAGGTTTTCAAAAATTTGACTATGATGTGCCCAAGATTAGTTTTAATGTTTATTTGACTTGTTTTAAGCCTTCCCGGTCTGTGGGTCTATACGTTTCACCAAATTTAGGACACTTTCGGACATTATTTCTTCAACTATTTTTCTGCTTGCTCTTTTCCCTGCTGGGACTCTGGCCAAGGAGAGTGCTTGAAGTTCACAGGTTGTTGAGGTTATTAATTTTCCTTTGTGCTTTACTCTGAAATGTTCCTGTTATTGTGCCTTCAAGTCCACTAAAACTCTTACTGTGTCTGGTTATTAGCTCCACCCCAAGGATTTCCATTTCTGATCATGTGTATTTTAGCTCTAAGCTGCCGTTTGGCTCTTTTTTATTTTCCACTTCTCCCCTCCCATTTCCACACTTTTCTTTGCGTCCTTGAACGTCCTGACAGAAGCTGTCCTGAAGTCCTGTGGTTTGTTCCGTCAGCAGCCTCATCTGGGTTTGTTTCTCTTCAATGATCTTGCTGCTGGTTGGGGTTTATGTTTTCCTGCTTTTTGCCAGAGTTGGGGCCATTGTAATTGTGATGACATTCAGTGGATTTGCCTTCCTCTGTAGAATTTTCTTTTTGGTAGGTAGTTACTTGTGGATCTTCATGTTTCTGGGGATTATAAGAAAACATGCTTTTTGAGGGCAGGAGTGAGGAGCCTTCTCTGAGGCAGGTCTTCTCTGCCCGTGGGGGTGCTGCTCCCAGGGCCACCTGCCTGCCTGTGAGGTTCCCTGGGTGCCTGAGCTCCTGGGTTTCTCCAAGCTTGGTCACTGCTTCATCAGTGTCGCCAAGGAGCCCCAGGGAGGCTGCTGAGCCCATTCTCATCACCAGTACTGCAGTTTGTAGCTGCCTTATCCTTCCTGCATTTGTTATTACTGGCAGTAATGATGTCCTAAAAACACAGTTGTACAAGTAGTTCTTTAGGATGCCACATAGATTTACGCCGAGGAGGCAGCACAGAAGCAAGTTCTGCTACTCCGTGATATAAGTGGCATGGAATGCCATGCTACGAGAATACTGATCATATGTCAGTACCGCGAGCGTGGAAAGGAAATGAAAGTGGGCCCACGGAACCGCTGTCCCCTCGAGGTGGGCAGCGTCAGACCTTCCAAGGAAGAGGCAGCTCTACCCCATGCCTGTTCCCCAGCTCTTGCCAGCTCTGTTCTGAGACCCTGACTCTGGCTGGTCCTCGTCCTGTGTTCAGCCCACAAAGTGTGGCTCTACCTAGCTGGCCTGCAGGCCTCACTGAGCCCCTGTATCCTTTCATTCAGCATCTGCAGAGGGACTTCATACATTTCGTCCACTTTTCTGAAAGGTCAGGGTATTTTCTTTTAGTTACTAATCCCATCTTGTTTGAAGTGAATGTTTTGAGATTCTACAAGGGACATTTCAAGACAGCTTTTGTGATTATGTATTTTTACATTCTGTTTAATTATTGGAACTTCATTTTGGTGCTTGCCCTCTTTTGTATGGATTTAAGACATGTCAGATTCCTGAACCCCACCACAGTGATTTCTCTTCTCATTAAAGGTTCTTTCCCGTGGAGAGGTCATCCCTGTGAAGATCCTTGGTGTCTTGGCTCTCATTGATCAAGGTGAAACTGATTGGAAATTGATTGCTATCAATGTGAATGATCCTGAGGCCCACAAGTTTCATGGTAGGTATGCAGCTGTCCCGCATGCCACTTGGGTCCTCAGAACTAAGTAGAAGCTCATTTATGTATTTGGGAGTAAATTCATATTTTGGGTTTATTTTCTTCCCATGGACTATGAAGGACAATTCAGTGTGTTTTGACCAGGGTCATTCATTAGAAAGAAAAGTGAGATTCAAGAAAGACAGAAATAGCAGAAAGGTTTGTCAAAGTCAGAAGTGAATGCTGTGGGTTCCCTTTCTTCCCTAGCCCTCCTCTCTTCTCATTTCTGGCTCTGTCTTCTTTATTTTTCTTTCTTCCTCCTTAGTGTTTAGAGTAATTGCTTCTATTTTGTAAGCAACATATTTACAACTCCATTTCTTAATTTATGTAGCTTTTATATTGACTCAAGTTCCTACTGTGCTCTTTGGGTTTTAAACTTTCTGTTTGTTTTTCTTGTTTGCTTTTCTGAGACAAGGTCTTGCTGTGTAGCTCAGGCTGGGTGTGAACTCCCAGAGAACCTCCTACCTTGCCCTTCTAGGTGCTGGAAGGACAAGCTTGTGCCACCAGGCCTGGGCCAAGTTGCTACTTTGAAAGAAAGGGACTTTAAATTCTTAAATATTTCTCCACTAACTACCATGTTTCTTCTTGAATTAAGCCAACAATTCTGAGTATTATACTTCAGTCTGTGTTTATTGCTTCATTGCCTTTGGTGACTTTGCCCAATGCGCCATCCAGGACATGGAGCTCCTTGCATCTTCTCCTCGCCCCTGGTGACCTTGCCTTCGCGGCTGTACCCACTGCTGTGCAGGAGCGCCAGAGTTAACGTGCTTGTCACCAGGGTTCATCCCAGCACTGTGAGGGAAAAATGTTTAAGTTATGCTCTTTTATTATTTTTTATGTTTTATGTCATAATTAACTGTGAAAGCAGAAAACCAAATGGCAGTTACCATATTATTATGTGAATACATTATTGCTCACATAGGTTCTTATGCTATCTACCAAGTGATCTGTTCTTATGCTATCTACCAAATGATCGGTTCTTATGCTATCTACTAAGTGATTGGTTTGGGGCCGACTGCTTCCTTAGTCTGCTGTAGAGCTGCTCTTTTCTCTCTCTTCCATCCTTCCTTCCTCTCTCTATCTCTGACTCTCTTGTGCATTCCCAGTGCTCGGAATTGAATTCAGGACCTTCTTAAGGAGCTACATCCCCAGCCCTTTTCTTATTTTTTTATTTTCACTGAATCAATTAAGTTGCCCAAACTGGACCTAAACTTGTGCTCCTCCTGCCTGCACCCCCCAGAGTCCGGGGACCCCAGGTGAGCGCTGCTATGCCTGGCTTATTTCCACTCTTGTGTAGGTCCTGTTCTCCCTCTGTCCTTCCCCTTTTCATCGTTGGCGGATGCACACTTTGCTGCTCTGCGACCATAGCTGCCTGAATGTCCTCCTGTGAGAGGGGTGGTCAGCTCTTTGTGAAATACCTTTAAAACAGCTAGTGTAATACGTAGGTATAAATTACTATACTTTAATCAAAATTTCTATCACAAATTATAGACAAGTTTAATCTGTCTATACTTCTTGGAATTTGTGGTAGATCAAGAGTAAAAACAGAAAAGAACAGTTATCTGGAAGTTTTAAAACTTCTTGAGTTTTCTGTGCGTGTGCATAATACAGTAGTTTAGAGAATTTTCATTTTTCGTTTTATTACTAGAGATTTAAAGATTAAACCAATCCTCCTAGGTTCCACTAACTTAACAAAAAGATGCTGTTATGTGACATGATCAGTATAAAATTTTCCTTTCAGAGAAAATAAGATCTCATTTTATAGATGATTGTGTGTGTTTGTGTGTATATGTGTGTGTGCTTGCGCGAGCGCCTGTGTGTGTGTGTGTATGTGTGTGTGTGTACGTGCACACGTGTGTGTACATCTTCTCTCAATCGAGGCCAACACATCAAGGCTGTGGTTCTTCTAAGAAGTTTTGGGATTATTTTCTTCATGACAAAGCACACTCTTTGGTTCTAGTGCACAGCCTGGAATGCAGCCTTTGCAGACCATCATGTCTGTTGAACTTTCACAGACTTTCAATGTGAACGCAACTGCGTGGGGCACATGCTGTTTATAAACTCCGTTAGGCCATGTGTGCAGTTCCTACTGATTGCGTTTGTTGCCAGAAGTTGGCCCAAGCACGTCACAGGCCTTTACTCTTCCTCATTTCCCTCCCCTCTCTCCCTGCCCCTCCCAGCCCTCAGGCACCTTCCTGTTTGCAAAAACTCTATTTCGTTGCTTCATTCAATGCTTTCTTTCCATCCTCTTTCCCTCCTCTCCTTTTCCTTTCCCTATATCTCTTCTTTGTATTCCCATTTGTAAAAGATCTCTCTGTTTCCTATTATTTATCTTTGATTTTGCTCTGTATATTTTTTATTTATTTATTTATTTTATTTTGTCTTCAGTATTTGAGATTTTGTTGGTTGTGTTGAGGATCAGTACACATGATTGACTTTGTACACAATTCTTGACATCGTACCAAAAAAAGCCATGTATTATTTTTCACTTATTCCAGTGGCTTTCCAGCTTCAAGTTTAGAGGCAAATTTTCTGTAAGAGGAGTAAGTACCAGTATCTTCGAATGCTGACAAAGTGTTACTTAATTTTGTATCACATAAACTACATACGCAAATTTTTGATCTTTACAGCACATTAACAAAATGAGGCAAACCGGACTACCACTACCAAAGATGTTACAGAGTGCACACGATTCTGACAGGATGACAATTAGGGTGTAGTTTTCTTTAGGAAACAATTCTACTAAAAACTTTGGAATAGAAGTCATTTAAAGTATCCAAGACATATTAAATGCAGGATTGCAACTCCAAATTGCCATTCAGTATGCTTCGTATTGCAGGATATAAAACTAACCCCCACCTATGGAATGTTAAGCTGACACCCAAGACAGTCAAAGCCTGCCATAATTCAGTATCCCACTGTTTCTGGTTGTACCAAAAAATAACCAGAGAATGATTTCACCTCTAAAAAAAAAATCTTGTACACTTAAACAATGCAATGAGGTGGGATTCCCTCCTTTTTAAAAATGTTTCTAGAGCTACTAAAAATCTTGCATTTACAGAAACACTTGAGAAAAATATTCCTCTGGATTGTACAAGAAGGGAGACAGGGAGCTCTGATAAGACACGGTGTGTGATTAATCAGATTTGGCTTCTTTCTCTTCTGCTTCATCAGAGGCTCATTTTTAGTTTCTCCATTTTCTGAAGGTAAATCTTCCTTGTTTTCTTTCTTTTTTTGGGGGGTGGTGGTGGGGGTAACTTGTAATTGAACTCAGGCCTTTGCACTTGCCAGGGAAGCACTTATTCTACCGAGCCATCTCCTCGGCCCCTCTCCTTGGTTTCTTGATCAGCCACTTCAGCCTGTTTTCCCTTGGCTCCCCTTTTCCCTTTTGCTTGCACTTTTTTGTCCGAAGATTTATCCTTTCCTGCTGTCTTTTTTGGCTTCGTTTCCACGTTAGCTGGAACACGTTTAGCCGACAACCTCACCGATCTCCTCTTGGGCTTCTCCTTAGCCGCCCCTTCGGCCAGCCGAGCTGACCCTCCTCTCGGGCATCTTGGCAGCGTGGGGCGCGGGCTTGGGTCGAAGCGCGAGGGAGCCTTGTGCTACGCAGCTGGACCGCTCTCGTTCCTCCCGCCGCAAGAGCTGCTGGGCTGCTCTGTATATTCTTCAAACTCTTGTTTCTGGCTGTCTTTCTGATACTTTAACATACTATTTTTAAACTTTTCAGTTTCACCTTCTCAAACAGCTATCACCACTGTGCAAATCTTTAAAAACATCTAAATGATACTTGAAACCAAATTCCCTGGTAGGAAAAGGGTTTGGGGGGCTCACTGACAGTTGGGGAGTGCCGAGGTCAGTAAAGCACCGTGGTCAGGTCCAGGCTCACAGCTCTGAAGCAGCATGGAGTCCTGAGAGAGCTCAGCAGACACCAGCACACCTGTCCTGTCCTGTCCTGTAACAGTGCCTGGTTTGGAAATAATCAAGTCCAGAGATTTTTAAGAAGATTGAGGTGCTGGGCCTTGTGTCCTGCCTCTTGGCTAAGTTACCACCTTCCAGAATGTGGTGCTTCGGAAATTCACCGAGCTGGGGGCTGAGCCCGCAGAGCATCCTGGGAGCCCTGCGCCTCCCAGCTAGCCCTGGAGGGCAGGCGATATAGCGGAAGCCTAGAAGCTATTTCAGCTGGAGAATCAGGAAGATTTCTTCCGCTATGTCTTCAAATAAATGCAAGCTATTTTCTGTTATCCTGAAGCTGTCTGCACAATGACTCTACTCTTTTAAAAATAAAAGGTTAAAAATGAAATTTGGATTCAGAACTGTTATGTTGATGGAGGTGTATTCCTGATGAACTAGTTACACAAGTACTAGAGGATTATTTTAAGTTAGACTTTGGGGACTCTTTCAAAGGCCATTATCACATTTTCCCAAAAGTTTTCAGAGTTCTTAGAAAGGAATTCTACAGACTTCCTTTTGCTGTCTTGCAGAGCAGGGATAAACCTGTTTGGCTTAAAGTTTCATTTACTAGGTAAATACTTCATGCCCCTGTGATTTTTTTTAAATAAGTTGATTAATACGATGTTTTGGTTTCTTCTTCATGGCACATAATTTAGTTCTATCATTTGGAAACCAAGGGGAACAAAGAAAATGACTTAAGCAATCTTGGGAGAAATATCTGTGTTAAGCTTCCAGGTCAGAAGGAGAAGCTGGGTTTCCTTCCCACCCTGGGACAGCAGCTGACATCCCGTGGTGACCCCTGGCCCTAGCATTTGTGCAGCACACCGTGTCCCTAGAGCTTGGCCACGGGCTTCCTGTGGAGCCATGTGCTGCGTCTTCCTTGTCTTCAGTGGAGATGTGCTTTTTGTTCCCATTTTCTTCAGAGGCGGTGTGGGGGAGGGGAGGCTGGGAACTTTCTAAGGGCACGCACCAGTGACGCCGGTGTTCATTTCCATTCCCCTTTCCCCTCCTAA